GTTCCAGATCACTTCTCGGACCTATAGTGGCTCCCTCTGATATGGTATCTCTCATCCTGCTCCCTCTCCTCTATTTTTCCCCCAACTCAATATATCTGCTCCTCCATTTCTTCTCCTCTACTCTTCATCTTGTGCTCTTATTGTGGCAGCACCCACTCCCCCACCCTCATGCTCTCAATTAGCTCTGGAGTTCATGCCACTTCCCATTCCTGGGGTCTCTTTATCCCTTAGAGTCATTCATGAAGGATTATAGGCTGGTAGTCCTTTGCTCTATGTCTAAAATTCATATATGAGTGAGTACATACCATGTTTGTCTTTTTGTGACGGTTACCTCACTCAGGATGGTTTCTTCTAGTTCCATCCATTTGCCTGAGAATTTCAAGATTCCATAGCTTTTTTCTGCTTAGTACCACATTTTCTCTACCCATTCTTCAGTTGATCATTCATCTAGGTTGCTTCCAGGTTCTGGCTATTACAAACAATGCTACTATGAACATGGTTGAACATATGTCCTTGTAGTATGGACATGCATTATTTGGGTATATGCCCAAGAAAGGAATTGTTGGATCTTGAAGTAGACTGATTCCCATTTTTCTGAGCAACCACTGTACTTATTTCACAAGTGGTCTTACAAGTTTACACTCCCACCAGCAATGAAGGAGTGTTCCTTTTTTTCCACATCCTCTCCAGCATAGATTGTCATTGGTATTTTTGATTTTTAGCCATTTTGACAGGTGTGGTATCTCAGAGTTGTTTTGAGTTGCATTTCTCTGATGGCCAAGGATTTTGAGCACTTTCTTAAGTGTCTTTCAGCCATTTCAGATTCCTCTGTTGAGAATTCTCTATTTAGTTCTGTACCCCACTTTTTAATTTCATTGTTTGGTGTTTTGGTGGCTAGCTTCTTGAGTTCACTGTATATTTTGGTGATCAACCCTCTGTCAGATGTTGGGTTGGTGAGTATCTTTTCCCATTCTGTGGGCTGTCCTTTTGCCTTACTGACTGTGTCCTTTGCCTTAAAGAAGCCTCTCAGTTTCAGAAGGTCCCATATATTATTTGAAGATCTCGATGTCTGTGCTACTGGTATAATGTTCAGGAAGCAGTCTCCTGTGCCAATTAATTCAAGGGTATCTCCCACTTTCTCTTCTAGAAGATAAAGATTCAGTGTGGCTGGATTTATGGTGAGATCTTTGATCCGTTTGAAGTTAAGTTTTGTGCATGGTGACAGGTATGGACCTATCTTCAATTTTCTGCATGTCCGAATCCAATTGTGCCAGCACCATTTGTTGAAGATGCTATCTTTTTTCCATTGTATAGATTTAGCACCTTTGTCAAAAATAAGGTGTTTGTAGGTGCATGGGTCAATATCAGGGTTTTCAATTCTGTTCCATTCGTCTGTCTTTCTATTTTTGTGCCAATACCAAGCTGTTTTCAGAACTATGACTCTATAG